TCGGATCATGCACCCTCTTTGCTTGACCTTCTGCTCGCGAGTCACCCTACCTACTATACAGTATCAGTCAGCGCCCCCCTGGGAAGTTCTGATCACTGTTTGGTTGGGTGTAAGGTTTCCCAAATGCCTCCAACTAAGCTGAAGGAAGTCACTCGTCGCATTTGGCACTACTCGTCGGCGATTTTATTGGGATGGTATGCGCGACTACTTTGCGTCCATCCCTTGGTTGCAGCACTGCTTTGCGGGAAAGGATGCCTCAGCAGCTGCCGATGCTGTTGTCGATGAGATTAGAACGGCTATGGATTACTACATACCGTCTTCCAGTGTCATCGCCAATCGCAGAGGACGCCCTTGGTTCAATCGCGAATGCATGGACGCTGTTAGTGAGAAACAGGCTGCATATCGTGGTTGGATCAGGGGTCGTGTAACAAAGGATCCCAACCTTGCGTCCCTTAAAGCAGCCTATAACAAAGCAACCAAGTCTTGCAGGAGGGCATACATAAGAGCGGATGCCCAGCGCGTTTCACGGATTGGCCAGAAGCTGGTAGCCCATCCCACCGGTAGCCGTGCCTACTGGAGCCTGGTCAAAGCTGTGCAGTCCAATTTTTGTCGTTCGTCGCTGCCGCCTTTGAGGTATCCCAATGGATTTTTGGCCTATGGCCCCGAAGAGAAAGCAAATTTATTGGCCGACCTTTTTGGGGCTAACTCGCGCATTCACGACCAAGGTGCGCAACCGCCGTCAATTCCCCATTGCGGAGTCACAATGCCTGATATAGTTATCAGACAATCCGCAAGGAATTGCAGACTCTTGACCGTACTGACGCGCTTATACCGCCTCTCATACCAATCTGGTAACGTGCCCCTAGCTTGGAGGGAGGCCAACGTGCAACCTATCCCCAAGAAAGGAGATCGGTCTGATCCGACAAACTATCGCCCAATAGCTGTCACTTCAGTGCTCTGCAAAGTGATGGAGCGGATTCTAAATATCCAGATAATCCGGCACCTCGAACGTCACTCCATTCTTAATGATCGACAGTACGGGTTTCGGCCGAACCGATCAACGGGTGACGTTCTAGCGTATCTAATGCATCTCTGGGGTGAAGCTATCGACAAACAGGGCGAAACCTTAGCGATAAGTCTGGATATTGCTAAGGCCTTTGTTCGGGTCTGGCACCGTGGTCTCCTCTCCAAGCTTCCGGCATATGGTCTTCCCGGCCGCCTTTGTGAGTGGATCTCCGGCTTTCTGCGCGAGCGAAGATTGCGTGTCCTTGTTGACGGAGGCACTTCGCGGCTCGTGACAGTTAATGCTGGGGTGCCACAGGGCTCCGTGCTGTCGCCCACGCTGTTCCTTCTGCATATCAATGACTTGTTGCCTTTTGGCAACATTCATTGCTATGCAGATGATAGCACAGTGCACGGTTGCTATTATAAGCAATCGTCAAGCACCCGGGAGGACCCTGAGAGAAACCGGGAAAAACTTGTCGATGAGCTCAACCATGTTTTGGAACATATATCGTCGTGGGGCTCCCGAAACTTGGTTGAGTTCAACGCCAAGAAAACCCAGGTATGCGCGTTCAGCTCCAAAAAATCCCCATTCCTTCCACTTCCCCATCTTCAGGGCACAACGCTGACGTTGCAGGACAAGCTCAGCCTGCTGGGGATGAGCATCCGGAAGGACATGAGCAACAAAGATTATATCGAGAGCGTCATCTGTACCGCGTCGCGCAAGCTTGGCATCCTGAACAAGATGCACCGATTTTTTACTCCAGAGCTGCGATACCTGTTGTATAAAGCTCAGGTCCGAAGCAGCATGGAGTACTGTTCGCACCTTTGGGACGGCTCTGCCAAGTACTTGCTCGATGCCCTAGATGGACTGCAGCGCTACGCCTTCCGTGTTGTCAACGATCCTCATGTAACTGAGCATGCGGAGTCGTTACAGCTTCGCAGAGATATAGTGTCTCTTAGCGTATTCTATCGCCTGTACCACGGTGAGTGCTCTGAAGAGTTATTCAACCTTATCCCTTCCTCTCCTTTCCATCAGCGGACCACCCGTGCCGGACTGCGTTGCCACAGATGGACGGTCAGTTCAATACCGTCCCGCACTAAAAAGTTTGGCAATTCGTTTTTATGCCGAACCATCACATTGTGGAACCAACTCCCTGCGCATGTATTCCCTCCCCTCTATAACATCGGGTCCTTCAAACGTAGTGTGAAGAAGCATTTGGCCAGACCGGCAAAATGATAGTGACGGAGTGAAGATATTTGTGTTTTCCATCCGTTACTCTCATCTCTGGACTGTATTCGCACTTTCCATCAGGCGCGGTGCAGTCATTTTGCCGAGTCACAATAAAAAAAAAAATAAAAAAAAATAGTGAGAATGACGTATGAGTATAGGAATTAGTTTGTTTGATTGTTATGAAAATGTTTGGTCTAAAGTTCATCTGTTAAGTTAACGGAAAACATTGAGGAAAAACGTACTCATATTATCTATGTTATTTTTTGTTAACATTGTTAGTTAGAAGTAATTTAGTGAGTTAATGAATGCTTTAACACGACCTTTATTAAGATCATAAGATTGCCCATTTTATTATGCCATTGTTTGCATAATAAAATCACGCACGGGCACGGGTCTCCTCTGAGAAGAGGATTTAGGCCACTGTCGCCTGATGCGGATTAGGAATAAGATGTATTCTTTACCGTGAGCGAAACATATTATTACTAAGTTTATACCATAGTGTCCCAAAGTGGTCCCTACCGCCCCCAGTGGGCGCTGAAGAGTCCTAGGGACATCGGTAAGGACCTCGGCAGCAATTGGAGGGAGTTGATGCTGTCCAGGGGGTTCTACCGCATTTGAAAACAAAAAACCTGAATTATCTATATAATCTACACCATATAATATTGTATATAACTTTTACCTTGTGATTTTTTCTGTTATGTTAATCTAATAAATACATATTTTCTATTATTTTATGAGGTGGTGGGCGTTGAATTTTTTTTATCTTACCTAAGTGGCCTAAAAGGTTGGGAACCTATGGTTTAGACCTACAAAGCATTCATAAATGTACACATCTTAGAAATTAAATAAAAAGCAATCATGCTCCCACTGGGCTATCATCGCTTGTTGATAAAAGATTATGAAGAATCGTCGTACCTTTATGACAAGCTCAAGTTCCCATTCGTGTACGTTAGGATGCCTCTCGTCTCCTATGTTCTCGACACAGAACAGCGAGCTTTCGCTATGCTGCCTCGAAATGCTATCGAAATTAAAAAATTACTTAAGGCGTATAGCTGCCGATGTATCGGAGATGTGAGCGTTTTATTGTTAACTTTGGCTAGTACTAATAGAATATATGAATGCTAATTATTACAATGTCAGAATTGAGGTATTATTTACAATTACCCTATTATTTACAGTTGCTTTATTATTTACAATTGCACTATTGTTTACAATTATACTATTATCCATAACTATCTCAAATTGTACACGTTTGTGTCGTCTACTGTGTTCCGTGTCATGTGTTCCCTGTTGCCGGATCCACTGAAAATCTGCGTCGCCCCACATGCAGTGGGACGACACCAAGCTGCGTGGATGACGGATTTAGTAACAGCACAGCATGCACACGTTATGGCGTATCGGTTGATTATTTATTGTTACAGTACAGCAAATAGCTTCCTGTTAGTGTGTTGTTTGTGTGTATTATCTAATTGTTGTTTTTTCCCTTTTTTATTTCGATTTTTTTCTCACATTACACACATTTCGATTTTTTTCTCACATGTTATAATTATGTTTCGTAATTGTTAAATGTATGTGTGCTGTGTTTCTTTACTACCTAATATTTCTTTCTTTCTTTCTTTCTTTCGAAAAATTGTATCCGTTATTATTGATACAAAGATCGAACAACACAAAGAAATATTCCATCGATCTGACTAGACTCGAACCAGCATCTATTGCGACGCCAGGGTCACCGCTCCAACTGAGCTATATAGACCAAGTCAAATTTTACGAATTTCTCCATGTGCTTTCTTTTTTTTGACACAAACAGTCATTATAAATTGAATTGAAAATAAAAACGAGAAAAGTTTATTTCTGTTTTTTTTTACACAAGGTTGGGACTTCCTAGTAGGTGTCATCCACCAGAAGTTTCGCTCTTACGTTATCCTTTAGTTGTAGGAAACAAATTCAATTTAATTTTATAATTTTCTAAGTAACAAAACTAATTTTACAAGTTATCAAAGATGATGCTAAGCTTAACTAACCTACAAAAGATTTTGTAAATGACAAATGTAAAGTAAACTTAAATAACTTTTGATAAATGTTGTAAATGACAAATATATACAAATGAATTAATACAGAAAAAATTAGAACTGCTATGGACAACGTGTACCGAATATTACACTTAAATATTAATAAAATGGGCTGAAAGGGCTGAAATATATAGAATAAAGAATACGCATATTTGAACCAAACCGAATGGGTAAACCATATAGGTGCTTACACAAATTTATACATAAAACTAAAGAAAAATAAATCTAAACTAACTTTTTATAGATTTTTGTATTTAAAAACGTTTAAACAAACCTCTTCTTGCCATCTGCGCCACTTGTGAGAAACTTGTGAAGTTTCTCAATAAATATTCCATAATACATAAGTATATCCATGTTTAGAGCGATTACACATGGCGACTTTTAGCAGCGCGTCTGTAGCGATTCAGCGATGCGGTCGCTAATATAGGTAGACGCCTTTAGACACACGCGAGACTTAACCAGCGATGCAGTCGCGTTGCAATCGCGATGCACGTTTTTAATGATTGAACATGCGCGTTTGCATCGACGCAATCACGCGTCTAAATCGCAAGTGTGGCGATACAATTGCAGGCGTTTGTATCGCTGCTAAGCGTCGCCGTGTGTACCCGTTCTTATTGTTGTGCCCTAGAAATGCCCATTTTTTAGTAAGTTGAAAATATTCAAGCATTGGCAAAAATTATTTTCTTATATTTCAGGCTACAAACAAATCCTGCACGGGGTAAATGGAAGACTACGTCCACGACAGCTCATCGCAATCATGGGTCCTTCCGGAGCGGGGAAGTCCACCTTGCTAGACGTTCTGTCTGGTTACAGAATCACCGGTATCGGCGGCGCTGTCTTTATTAACGGCAGAGGACGAAATATGAGTGAGTTTACTGCTGGTTATCATTCAAGGCATTTGTAAGTCAAAAATCAATATTATTCATTAAAATCACAGTTTCCCAAAGTGATCTCTGAAAGTGGGCGCTGAAGAGTCTTAGAGGGCGGTGTTGGACGGCGTTGCAGCTAAAAAAAACCTGATTTATATATATAAACTACACTACAGAATGTATCGACACTGGAAAGATAAAACGTCTAACGTGCATTTGGAAAATATTACAGAAGAGCGATATAAAGTTTTTTTTTAAGAAAAAGTCATAATTCGTCGGGGATAGTACAATTACGCGTAACTAGCATTTGATTTTGAGTCTCCATTTCGGTAATTTTGACGCTAAATAAAATGTTATGCGTAAATATTATGGCAACCAAATTAACGTGATTTACGGGAATCTATTGTTATCAGTCCGTCGACAACACAAATTAATGGTTACTCCACAAAAATAAAAGTCATGGCCATTGAAATAACAGAGTAATAACGTTAAATCCATCTCCTGCGAAATTTGATTGATGCAGATATGCGTTTTTTACCAACATTACACACGCGGATTTGCACTGTCCCCGACGAATTCAAATTTTATTTGGTTATATGAAAAACTAAAAAGTTTCAACTTTGCTATGTAAGAAATAAAATTATAATTATGATTTTGTCTCTGTAAAAAAGTACTTTAAATTTCTCTCCTGTAAAATTTTCCGAATGCACTTTAGATATTTTACCTTTCCGGCGAAATTTTTCCTTATGATTTATTTATTGTCTTAAGTTAATATAAAAAATTCAATTCATTCAATTATTTCTTATATCAATTATTCTTCGTGGTAGTGGCCGATGAATTTTTTTTTATCTTGCCTAAGCCAAAAACTTTGGGAACCTACGACTTAAATCAATACATGAGGTAACTAAAGCTATGTATAAGCCTCAAATTCATTCTAGCTACGTCTTTTTTAACCATATCACTCTTTTCATGCCATTCAGCATTTTAAACAACATTTTGTTCTGGCTACATGGACGTGGTAACACTGCAGAGTGAAGTTACGAACGGTACGGTACGGTAGTTAAGAACGGTAGTAACACAATCAAGTCCACTCTATTAGAAACTATACTAAACGCCTTTTGTTAGCGGTTATACACGGGAACTTTTAGCAACGATGCAAACGCAATGCTGTCGCTAATCGTCTACCTTATTACATCGATGCAAACGCGCGATTGCATCGATACAAATGCGCGACTGCATCGATACAAACGCGCGATTGCATCGATGCAGCTAGCATAGCGTTTGCATCGCTGCTAAGTGTCACCGTGTTATGTACTCGATGCCCAATACTAACTGAGATGACTTAAAATTAGCAGACTTGATGCCCAGAATGTTCAATCTCCTACATGGCTTCATATACACTACGTGTACCTATATGCATAGGGATTTTCGAGTATGTTTAACTTGGAATACGATTATTTAAACTTTTAATGAATCCATCAAACTGTTGATTTCAGAGAGATTCAAACGTATGTCATGCTACATCCAGCAAGACGACCGGCTGCAAGGTCTTCTCACTGTCAGCGAGAATATGGCTTTAGCTGCTGACCTCAAACTACCCACCACTCTTGACAAATATGAGAAGGGAGAAGCGGTGAGTAAACATTTTCATAGTTTTAATAGCAGTAGAGCTCCTTGTGAAAGAGTTCGTCCAGGGAAGTACTGCCACCTTACTTACTTCTGCAGTAACGTGAGCATTACTACTTTCCGGTTTTGATGGATAAGGGTGCTGATGAAATTGCAGGCACATGAGACTTGTCAACATTCAGTGACAGTACCCTTCAGATCTTTGCGATATAAAGCTCTGAGTGGCACTGCAACTGTTATGGACAGGCGTGTCGTTTACTATCAGGCGCACAACTTGTTCGTTCCGTCACTTAGTATCCGAAAAAAAGTACCTAATATTTGAATGGCAAATTGTTGAGCGCCTCTAGGGATAACTGTCACATTTTTTGTTTAATAAAAATGTAAAATGCAAGGACGCCTTGTCGTTGACCTTCCGTCCGATCGATCTTCCGTTATTTCATACAACGTGACGTAATTTCATCGAAACGTGACGTGACACGGACAGATAATTTAATAAAAATTATGACGTTGGCGCTAAAGATTTACTAAAACAATTTAAAAAACTTGCGATGTATTTTATTTCGAAGGGTAACAAATTGCATTTAAAATAGTCAAATTTACTACACCTTAACCTTAATGCCGCCCAGCATTTTATGTGAGCATTACCGCATTTCGGTTTTGAAGGGTACTGGTACAATTACAGGCACATGGGACTTATCAACTTATGTCTCAGGGTGACAGACGCAGTGGCAGCGTCCCTCATATATATAATGCAAACCATGAGATACTACATACATAATCGCATACAACATTAATTAAGTAGCAGTAGAGTTCCTTGTGAAAGAGTTCGTCTAGGGAAGTACTGCCACCTTACCTATTTCTGCCGCCAAGCAATAATGTCAGCGTTGCTGTGTTCCGGTTTTGAAGGGTAAGGGTGCTGGTGAAATTACAGGTACATGGGACTTGTCAACTTATGTCTCAGGGTGAGGGGCGCAGTGGCAGTGTCTCCAGATCTTTGCGATTTAAAGCTCTAAGGACATTGCAATTGTTCTGGACAGGCGTGTAGCTTACCATCAGGCGCACGACTTGTTTGTCCCATCACTCAATATTATAAAAAAAGTAATAAATTCTAGTTCACGTGGATTTTTTTTATAATATCAGGTGATGGGACGAACAAGTCGTGTGTAATTAATATTTTCGCACTTTCATAAACCGGAGTATAAAATTTATAAAACAAAGTAACAAAAACTATGTCAATGCCGTGCCATATGTTTACCCATGAATCACATGAAATTCATTCCAGAAAAAGTAATTTGAGTTTAGTTATTACCTCAACAAAACTATGACGTTTATCATAGTTTTGTTATGTTTATGATGTCATATGCGATATAGTTATTACGTTTGTCTTCCATTCAATTCTAGACACTTTAAACAATAAAATAAAAGTCAAAGTCTAACAATCTCTATTCCATTGGTAAGAAAATTACTTGAAATCTTCATATTAATTAAACTCTACTGCTCCTTTGTAAGTCAGGTTCCCTTGAGAAGAATGAGCAAAAAGCTCTAGGAGTTGCTCTTTGTAAATGAACATTTGTACACGTTTATCATTTACAATATTTATTTCAAACATCATAAATCGAGACTACCTGCAAGAGCTAAATGAGTTACTACCACGGATTTTTGTCATCCAAGAACGCAGAAGTTGTATAAATAACCTTTAGTATAAAGTTTTGTTTCACTATCATTTTGAACCTCGTGAATGGCAAATTTTGAATGTCAACCGGAATTTTATTATAGAAGCGTATACATTGTCCCTTAACATGAATTTGTGATTTTTGTAAAGACGACTGTCAAGAGCAGGTAGTTTATTTTTATTCCTCGTTTTAAATAGCCTTAACACTTAACGTAAATGACATATTCATAAATGTACTGTAACACTAGTGGAAGAATTTTAGTTTCTTTAAGCTTGTTTCTCAAAGCGTACATAACATTTAAATTCCAGATAGAAGACATCCTCACAAGCCTAGGGCTGTACGAGCACATGAACACAAGAGCCGCACAACTCTCAGGAGGACAGAGGAAAAGACTCTCTATTGCACTAGAACTGATCAACAATCCTCTTATAATGTTTTTGGATGAACCTACTACGTAAGTTTTTACAGATGCTTATACTAATTTTAAAACGAAAAGATAATGGATTATTGAGGTCGAAGTTGCCGATTTTTCCTTCTTCGGTCGAAGGCCATGACTCACAGAAACACTGCTGTATATTACGTTGTTGATCTATCCACGTCGTTTTTTATAATATCCACGTGATATGCACAGAAAAGGAAAAAGAGTTTAAGACGATTATGAGAGGTAACGCGGAAAGTACTAGATGAAGAAATTCCTAAATATACGACAGCACTAGGGTTGGGCCTGTCTCCAATAAGGGACTGGGATTTTTAGCTTTTAACTCTACGAATATGGAATAGTTACTTAGATGGAATTATTAGCCTTGATAGAGTTGATTAGTTATATTAGCATTACCAAACCAGTTTATTTGTGAAAAAATGATTAGCACATCTAAGCACGTATCAAATAGCGAGAACGCAAAAACTGCTTTAATAATTTGTCAACTGATTTTAGGTTTATCTAGATAAATAGATATTTTAAGTTTATCTAGATAGATAAACCTAGATTCGGTGCCGACCTGGTCTTCAATTCCGAAAAAAACATATTTCTTAATGTACACTACTGTCACAATAAAACATTACGAATTAAGAACCTCCTCCTTTTTTGAAGTCGGTTAATAATAGTTTCAGGGTGCCGATGAAAGAGTGTTTAATTATTCTACCTGTAACGGACTAAATCAAACTGGTGTTGTTGACAACTACTTCAAGTTCAATTAAAATCTAAAGAACTTAGGCACAGTCAGTTTAGACACTGTTAATACTGCAGTGTTCCTAGCTTCTACAGTGAGCTTAGAACAGCTTACTTAGTTCATAGACTGCTCAATACGCTACCATTGCATCTAAGACAGTAAAGTCACAAAAATCTTTAAAAAAATTCATCGTAATGGCACTTTCGAGCACACCCTGTATGTATACGCGCGTCTCACTTTGCGAATCGAACCGGTTTTTATTGCGTCGAGTGCACGCTACCGGTTTTGCTACAAGGCGATAGCTTATGTAATTTTTGACATTGTACATCGTGGTATTTATCCTCTTTTTTCCTATATCTATGTATTTATCGGTGCAAAGGTTCCAATGACGTGATACTTTGTTATGCTAAGTAGTTTATTGTTGTTAAAAGGAGTTGCAACACTCAGACATATCCGGCTACGTTTAAGAGAGCATGAGGCGTTGGTGATTTGTTCTAAAGAAAAAAAAATATCCTTTTGAAACCACTATATATTTTGATGTTAAATTTAATATTTTTTCAAAATCACACGTCACGCTAGTCGTCGTATCAGAAGAAGACGCCGAGATCTCCATAATGTTGTCATGATATAAAGTTACTTATTTTTTAATGTTTCTGCTGTCAACACAACACAATAATTGAGGAGCGTTTTCACAAAGCGATACAACAAACAAAAATTCTATTTTACTTTTTTTGGCGTTTCGTGTATTGTATTCATAGCCGAACATGACGGTATTAACGAATTTTCTGAAAACGACTTATAAACCTTTTAAAAAATACAGCAAAGTTCACGAGATTTTTCAAAGTGATACATCTACATGGAGCGTATTTTTTCAAAACGATACATCATTCGAACCGACAGACGATATACAGTTTTATGTTTGGTTAGAAAACCAGAGTGGCCGAGGAGCTAATGAGATAGCATCGGCACTTAAACATTATTTGAAAAAGATAGAAGAAGTATGTTTTAGGGATAAGAAAAAGAATTTGAAGCTTGAACTGTATTCCGATTCTTGTAGCAGTCAAAATAAAAATTTCATTATGTTAACCATGTTGGCAAATTTCATGGCTACTAGTAAAGTTTTTAATAAGCTAAGCTACATTTTTCCTATTCGAGGCCACAGCTTTATGCCTCCAGACAGAGTATTTGGTAGGGTTGAGAAGGACTACAGAAGACGTGAAGTCATTGTGTCACCAAAAGAATATTATGCAATTTTAAATAATCATGGCCAAGTCAACGAATGGGGTAAAGATTGGTTTACTTATGACATGAAAGCGAAGGCCAAAGAAATCATAAAGGCAAAACTGCCATTTAAAATATCTCAAACACGAATAATACACATTACTACAGTTGCATCCCGTACTTTAAAAAATATTGAAGTTAGTGTTCAAAACACATATTGTGCTGCGCCAGTAACTGTAGAAATAAAGAAGAAAGGCGTAAAATCATTTCTGCGATTTGATTGTGTTCAGTTACCTAAAACCAACATGGTGTCAACAAAAAAGAGAGCAGACGTTGAAAATCTACTTAAATTTTGCGATATTTCTGATAACCTTGATGCTCAGGCCTTTTATGCAGATGTGCTCCAGGGTTCTGGTCCCGATGACGATAACATTCGACGAAACTACGATGATGAAGAACCAGTAATTTAATATTCAAATTCAATTAATATTATCGGAGTTTTATTAAAGCGAGACATCAATGATTGATGTATCAAAGTTGAAAAAACTCGTAGTTTTGTGATCTCATTATTTCAGTTGATTTTTTATTACTATTGTTTTTTTTATAAAATAATAATGTGTTAGTAAAATACCTACCAAATTAATTTGCATTTTCATTTAATTCACCCAACCAAAGCTAAATAAATAAATAAATTCATTTATTGAAAAAAATACTATTTTAAGATGTATCATTTTGTGAAAACGCTCCTCAATTACGCTGAATGTTTTCTATTTACAAATATAATAATTGAAAATTTGTTATATTTGTTACAAATAGCAAACGGACACGTGATCTATACTGGTTATGCTCAACCATCGTCTGAAGTACGCGGTGACAGTGTCCGTCTGAAATATGCACTGAGGATCTCATTACGAATAGAATTGCTCACGCCGACACGTTCTTTTTGATGCATCGAATTGTTAAATCTTTCAATAATTCAATACAGCCAACAGGGAAGTTTATTACTGCACACACGCAAATAAGACCACTTTAGGCATAAATCAACGCTACAGCCAGTCTCCTTGATTACTAACTTACTATACATGACCTCATCTAATGCCAGCCCACCTACTAAATCTGGCAATTTACATTTGTGATTTGGAACTATAATAACATTTTTTTTTCTCAATTTTCAGAGGTCTTGACAGCTCTTCCTGCACACAAGTTGTCCAACTTTGCCGAAATCTAGCCCATCAAGGCCGTACAATTGTATGCACTGTCCATCAACCTTCAGCGTCTCTCTTTGCTCTCTTCGATCATGTCTACGTCCTAGCAGCTGGACTATGTCTTTACCAGGGCACCACAAATAACCTTGTGCCGTATTTGGAGCAAGCTGGAGTACCTTGCCCTATCTATCACAATCCCGCTGATTATGGTAAGTTTTTTTATCGTATCTTTCAAGTTAAATAAATATAAAAATCAGTGATAGAAGCTGTTACCCCCGCTCTGGATGTTACTTGGTGTAACAAATTTCGTTGGCCATTCAACGTAGTAATGCTGCCAGTGTTATGGGGGCGTTTGAACCAAGTAGGATTCAGAGAGGTCCATTTCAAAGTTATATTGAGAAAAAATGGCTAAGTCTGGCAAATTGCATTATTGATTTTTGTGTGACTGATTTATATTTGTGTCTACCTGATGGAGCTTAAGTTGCGGATTGACATTTGTAATTAATTTAATTTTTGGATTAATAAATTTGATTTTTATTAATATAAATAAATATAAGTCAACATCAGATACGTTGCTCTGATCCCAAAGTAAGTAGCTAAAGAACTTGTGTTATCGAAATCGGAAACAACGATGGTACCACAAACACTCAGACCCGAAGCAATGCAGAAAGCAATGTAAAAAAACTCTACACTGACCAGCCGGGGATCGTACCTCAGAGAGGGCGTTACCATGAAAACCTGTATGCAAACCACTCGACCACCGAGGCGTCTAAGTTGATAACTAATGTTGTAGTAGATGAACTTAGCGTATCGACAACAATTGGAAGTAACTGTGTGATATGTATGATCATACATACATATGTATGTATATGTATGTATGATCCGAACTTCCGTGTACTGTCGACGTGCGTAATATACAAAGTAAGTTAGAGGAAGCTCATCAATACATACGAATATTTTTCAGTAATCGAATTAGCATGTGGAGAATACGGCGACGATAAAATCCAAATCCTCACAACGAAATCAGAAAACGGAAGAGCACTCAACTGGTTCGAACACCCCAACTCCATTCAGTCTATGGAAGCTTTGAGGAAGCAGTATCCGCTCAGCTTGCTAAAGGAAGAAGACGCGTACAAAGGTGATGAGGAAACGTCACAGTCAAACCAAAGATGCGTACTGATCAAGAGAGGATTTTTGAAGGCGAAACGAGACTCGGTAATAACTTTTAACAAACAATATTACCCAAATGTCAATAACATTATATTTAACAAACTATACCCAACTTTGAGAAAGGAAAATGTGCTTCTCACCTTTCAGCTATTGAGTTACCTACCTCTATGAATTTTGTGATTAGTTTTGCTTAGAATGGGTTACTTTTTTTTTATATAATACTTGCCTCGAATAAAAAACAGACCCGTTATTTTTAGGAATAAATAAATGCTAATAATTTCATGTTTGCAGACAATGACCCATCTACGTCTGATAGTGAACGTCGTAGTGGGCATAATGCTGGGTAGTTTGTTCATCAACTCGGGTAACGAGGGGTCAAGAGTATTAGAAAACTACAATCTTCTCTTCGCCATTCTCATGCACCACATGATGTCGCCTATGATGCTTACCATTCTTACTTGTAAGTCTTCTATTTGTGTTAAAGTCTTCTAAAGAATATACCTATCAGGGAATCCTTCCGCCATGTCCCACACCTGTAAATTAACATCATCATCATCAATAACCAAATAAAATTGGTAAATTGAAATTTTCAATCATTCGTTTTTACAATTTCAGTTCCATCGGAGATGTCAGTACTGTCTAAAGAGCACTTCAACAGATGGTATTCGTTGGGTTCCTACTACATATCTATAACAATAGTCGACTTGCCTGTTTCGGTAAGTACTTGATAATATATATATATATTTAGACATTTTCAGATCATAAAATTAAAAAATATGTTAATTTCTGGATAAAGGTCTTCTTTTCTAAATACGAGACTTACCACACCTGCTGCCAAGTAAGATTAAGTAAGAATGATAATCAAAATAAAACTGAAATCCATTTTTAATATTTCTACGATCACAATCACAACGTTTAATATAAAGTAATTGGTTTCTTATCCATTTTTTTGGGATATTAAGTGACGGAACGCACAAGTCGTGCATCTGGTGGTAAGGGATCCGCCCATCCATCACAGTTGCAGTGCTACTCAGAACTATAAATCCCAATTCATTGAATTATACGTCTCATGTGCAGAGATGCTTTACAATAATATAAAATGAAAAGGCATTTAATTCTCCATAAATGATAAGAAACACAATACTTAAAAAACGAATAAAAAAAAAACAATTGAGTGATATGGACAAAAAGGTTGACTCAGCATTTCTGATTTTCAGTCTTCACTGGATTTTCAGTCTTTATCGGTTGAAATTGGTTCGGTTACAGACTTTCCATGGACGAACTCTTTCACAAGAGCTCTACTACTACAAGATCATGTTCAAAAAATTAAACATCATTGCTATTCCCAGCCCTTGTCCCTTTATGGCGTATAGTTAAACCATAATTAAGAGTGACGTGGTCCTTTTCACGGCAAAATCGTACTCTTTTACCTCTATCAATAATAAGAAGTGTAACATATTCACTTTCTCTTATACCTATAACATTATTATTAATCACGAAATCTATTTCCAGATAGTTTCATGCTTCATCTTCAGCGTGATAATCTACGTGATGTCCGGACAGCCGCTGGATATCACCAGGTTCTTAATGTTCTTCGCCATCTCGTTGTACACCGTGCTCGTCGCGCAAAGCGTCGGCCTGATGATTGGCGCTGCCTTTAACGTTGTTGTGAGTATCATGTTACTTGAAGTAGCAACTTTGGGCATGTTAGAAGCTTGGGATCATTGGGAATTGCAAAATCTACGAATATTTCTATCCTAATTCAGAAAATCCAATTCCACGTCCCGTATACACCCGTTAAATTTTATTAAAAATGAAAGGAATGGGTAGCAAGGACGCGTGCATCTTCAGACCTTAAGTAATTTTTTTGCTTATTTCAAAGTGACCCTTATTTCGCGGTAACCTATCACAAACTCGAACAGTTTTTTGTCCGAATTTTCATTACACCGAAAACCGAATTATAACGAAACAGTTATTCTTTCAGGATATGTTGAATGTTTATCGCAAAGACACGATTAGGTTCGGTTAGGTTAGGTTAAGTTAGGTTTAAAAGAAAAAACATTTTCCTCTCATTATTACTTTCGAGGTTATGAAATTTCGAGCAAACGTTTCTGGAAAATGTAATTTCGGACTACTGATAGACAACCTTATTTCGTATCAAAATTACTGATAACAAATTACTTTTCCAATTAAAACATACAAGTAGCTTATTTATTAACAGTACACAAAGGTAGGCCCTCAGTCATTTTCTCTGACATATTAAATCATATTCTTCATTAACGTTTATTTTGTCTAAAGTATCATGAGCTACAACTTTAAAGAAATCCCTATTAATAAAACTTGTTATCATGTTATACCTAGAACGGCACGTTTCTTGGCCCGACCATCTCAGTGCCAATGATGATGTTCGCTGGGTTTGGTGTGACCCTCCGCGACCTGCCCACGTACCTGTACTGGGGGTCATACGTCTCGTACTTGCGCTATGGACTGGAAGGCTTCATTGGCGCTATTTATGGACAGGACAGACCAAATCTTGAGTGTAATGAAGCTCTTTACTGTCATTATAGGTGAGTTATCGCATAAATGGATTTTGATATTTTCCTGATCTACCTTACGTTCTATCGAGTAAAAAGTGTAAAATGGATAATTATTGTATCTGAAATCCCTTCAAATTATAATTATGTCCTTTTGTATATTTCGTAATTTGAATCTATTTAATTACTTAGGTAACATTTACGCGAGCTGCATACTATGCCGCCTTAAACATTTCTATAGTCTGTTTTTTTTTTAAGACGGAGTAAAATGACAGTGCATTGCCCAAAAATGTTACCCGCTTGCGAGCAGCTAGTGATTGCAGTCGATAAATGTTCTATCAACAATCGACTGAATATTAGTCACGCTTATGGAATAAATAGCCGAACTTGTTTCATTTGAATTATCCTCGACCCATTTTATTCATCCAATTACTGAACATAACCTCATTAAAATTGTCAATTTTATAAGTTCATACTGTATTTAGATTGAACTATGTTTATGAAAAATACGAAGAGGAGACATATTTTAAAGTTTTTCAATTCAATTCAATACAGATAATCAAATCCGGCTATTCTTGTTAAAATGTATATGAATAAAAATTTATCTCGATACTAGCAGGTCAACTATCAAAAGAAGAATAAACAATAAGGCGTTAACGCAATTAGTAACCATTAGAACGTCGTAAGTTTCACATTTCAGTCATTTTTGACAAAATTTTATCTTCTTTCACAATCTATCGATAAAACTATCGACAACAACTACATAACTATTTAAAATTTTATGAAAACTGGTAGCCCTACAAATTTCATTTTACTCCGTCTCCAAAAAAGACAGACTATAAGTGATATAGAACAACGTACTATTACGTTGTTTATTTATTTGTTATTTAATCTAAAAACGTAAGAGAACTATTAGGACATACAAAATCTTCATAGTGACGTCATTACTTTACAACATATGAAAATATTAAACCTTAGCGACACGCAGTATCGATACTTCACAGGATAAACAAGCATTACTCACACATACAAATGATCGCTGGCATACACGCGCAACGTCGCCGGGCAGTTTATATTCGTTAACATTTATTGATGTCGGTATCATTATTTGTTACATTCATTTATAAGCCAGTCGAAGTGCATTAGAATATGAGAAAAATATCTGCGCCAGCAGCGCATCAATCGGCAAAAGCACGATCCTCGTGCGAATGTATTAAATTATAAACGACTCACGTATTATTGCATGTTCTTTCCCATGACAATCACAAATCTCTCTAATTTCGTGAAAAATTCACTTAATGATCGTAGTCAGGATAACAACAAACTTTAGAAAAAAATGTACAATTCGCCAACAATAGAAAAGGCGTCTCACGGCTACGCCACACGGAGGGAAAATTAAAATAATTAGGTACATTTAACTGCAACTCACAATCAATTTAAGTTAACAAATTCTCAAAATATGTCCCATTCTGTATACTAATACAAACTCTCACTTGATAATTTCGCTTCCTGGTTTAAACTTTCACCATGAAAACATAAATAAATCATCTTTTCACGGTGAATGTGTAAAATAATACGTCTAAGTTCAGTTTGTAATATCCTGTAAACTAAATCTTCTACAGGTTCATTTTCGTGAACAAAACTTCAAAATAAATGTTAAATTTCATGGCCTTCCTTATATTTAAGATGCCATGTCATTTAGAAGGAAACTATCCTTATTATTGAGACTTTTGATTAGTATAGTAAAATTATAGGTGTTGTTTTTCACATTTAGCGGGCTCGATACCAGTTCAGACAGGCGATTATTTAAAAATCTTTGAATGCAGTTCGAATTGTTTTTAAAATCAAAATGAAGTCTTCTTTCACTAAAATTTTCTATCTACCCTAAATATAGGGTACTTTCAAACCGTGAGACAAAGCCGTGGGATGCCCTGTGTATGTTTGTTTCTTCAATATATTCAGTACCTATCATGTTTGCAGCAAAAATATAATCAACCACTTATATTACTACCTGTTTACATTGTGTATCATTATTTTCCACCAGGTATCCCCGTCAGTTCCTAGAAGAGATCGCCATGTCACCAGATATGTTCTGGTGGGACGTTCTAGCCCTCACCGTGACCCTCTTCGTCCTCCGCATAGCAGCTTTCATTCTTCTGAAATGGAAACTTAGCGCCGTTCGATAATCTTTCTAGAGTCTTCTACAATATTGTGAAACCTCCTAGAACATGGTGAAACTATTTAAAAGCTTCTAGTATTCATTTCTACACAGACTGGGACGTACATAAGTAGATTGAGGGCGCAAATAAAAGATGTGTGGTAGTAAAATTTTTAAAATTTGTGCAACATTTTTGGATGGGAATATTATATTAATAAATATTATAGAAAAGTCAATATTATCAATGGCAATTAATACGATTTGGTCAAATATAATATAATAGTAATTTTAAGAAATATGAGATGTGTTAATAAGTCACAAATTGCGCTTTTAATTTTATTTTTTTATAGATACAGTAGAAACCATTTATTGCAACGCCACCTCACAAAAATACACAGAAAGAAAGAATATGTAATATAAAACCAAAAATAATATAACAAAACACAAAGAAGGAAACATCAAATTTTAAATAGTCAACACAAGTTGAATTACTGTCTTATATCGACTGTGGTGTATCCAAAATGATCCACTCAGCTAATGCTACATATAAAAAATCTAATACGATATTACAGGGTTCAAATAATGCAGCTGTGATATTGCTCCGATACGGTATTTATTTGTAATTTTAAGACTTGAATTTCTTGCCCAAAATATATACGTAGTAAAAAATTTCAATTTAAGGATTTTTTAAGAATTCAATCCTATATTCTTTGAATTGTTTTTATTTTAACTCATCCCTAATAACCCTAAAAATTGTATTTCAAATGATAATGGAGTTTCATGTTTTACAAATACCTATTAGATTAAGGCAACTTCTAGTGACGTAACTACATAGTTATTGATAGACCACAACATTACGAAAATTGGTCTTTCTTTCAAGATGGCGGGTTCTTGATATTATGGTTGACTCTTTTCAAGTTACTTAGGATTTAAGATAATTTTAGCATTAAGCAAAATCGCGCTCTATGTGATATTACACATATCATTTTGTTACTTAAAAACCAGAAATGAAAGAGGATAGATACAAACACATTATGTTTACTTATGATCCATCTGAAAACATTTCTGTGTTAAAGTTAGTTTATACGCGTATGCAGTAAAGCGGGATTTCACTTTCTCGCATGTTGGACAGTAGTGAAGTTTGACATAAAGCGTATCTACCTACGATGTAGGATTGATAATGTACACAAAAATTTGTGTTTACGTAGTAAATATAACTGTTGCTCATTTTTATTATTTATTTATCGTAGTACTTAGTTTAGACATAGAATAAATAGTTTCTAGGAATTTTGTACACTCATTGCCATATTTAGGGGTATACTAATAAAAAGTATACTGAAACATTTAATTTGAAAAAGGAACGGCTTTAATCGTCTTTTAATTTCGATTAAACGCTCTAGTAGACGTCGCCAGTTGTTTATAATAAAGGCTTTATCATAATTCAACCTTTTTTAGCTTTTCTTTGAATATGTCATGTTATACATACCATAAATAGCAGGGATTAAGGAATTAAATGGTAAATAGACAAGTGTATAATTGTGTATTTCAGATTTGATGTAATTGACTATTTTGCATTATGAGTCAATAAAGTTTTTAATAATAAAATTTCTTCAATTCCACTCCGTCCTATTGAAATTAATTATCTATTGAGTTTTAGGTTTACCCCAAACGTAATCGATAATATACCACTGTATAATAAAATGGAACAAGAATTCCATATAACATTGTTATGAATAATATATTCCGAAATGGAGTAAATGTATCAAACATCTTGTATACCACGTGCCATCAATGTAGATCAGCCAAATACTGGGAACAATTAAAAGTTACTTATAACTATGTATGTGAAATGTTCATCTTAATACATCCAACTGCCGTGCACAAGAGTTAAATGATGCCTTATACTATTATACTGACACAATATATTTGCACAATATAATTAATCTACAAGGAAGGGCTTACAGTTTAATGACGCTTAATGACGTGGTTTAATGAGTTTTTGGAAACTTCTCCGGCACACATACAACCCTACAAGCTGCATATGTATGTATACATGTATGTATAGTCTGTATTTTTTTAATGGAGTAAAATGACAGGTCATTCGGTTCCGGCGGACAGGAAGGAGGGTGCTGGCCTCCCTCTCCCGCTCCGCAGCTTCCTTCTGCGACATTACTCGTTCGCAGAAAGATGCTACCTCCGCCCGCGACCTGTCGCTTGTCGCGGCAACCAGTTCACGGCGTCCATTGGTCCAGGCTGGGCACACCTGCAGCGTGTGCTGTGCCGTGTCTTCGCAGCAGCCTCAATGGTGACATACGGTTGTCGGTTCCCTCCTGGCTATACGACACAGGTACTTTCCGAAGCATCCATGCCCGAAAAACACCTGCAATAGCCGGAAAGTCAAGGACTCATGCGCCCCGTCCATCCAGTTTTCAAAAATCGTACGGATAGCCTCCACAGTCCTGCTCCCAGCTCTGGGTTGGCAGCCGTTCCCATCAAACGAGGGATCATGCTAGTAAAATACTGGAGGAAATTTCATCGAGAGTCGAGGACGAGACCAAGATACTTCATTGTGGGCTCGACTCCGATGCGAGTCTCATCGATAGTGATATGAGAACCCCTGTAGTACTGTAGGCCGGGGCAGTACTTCCCTGGACGAACTCTTTCACAAGGAGCTCTGCTGCTGCTAAAAAGTTATTCTGAGTTTGGTGTTAAATAAGCGTGTTAAAATGTAAAACATTAGAATTTTTATCCCCTGTGATAGGAACTACCCTTAATTACTGTGTTTATGTTTACTAATTGCAAATATGACGTGACAATTTCAAGTATATTTTGTTTACCTATGAAATAAAGATGTATTTAAGTTTGACTTTACTCCGAAAGGGGACAGGCGTGTGGCGTAACCTGAGGCGTGATTTATTCATTTCTTTAAATAAAAATAGTAACAACATAAACAAATGGTAATGATAGCCTACGCACTGGTATAATTATTTAAAAATTAATTTAATAGTACGTAACATGGTCACTACTGGCATGGGACCTTAAAAGGGCTCAACACTTTGGTATGTCTAAAAGTTAAAAACAAACATTTTACACAAAATAAATAGATAATTTTGCTCTTACAACATCAAACATTAAAGAGGCAAGATGTAAGTGTCTGCGAGATTTCATATATATATTTTTTAATGTATATATGGAACCTTTTAATATTTTGTTATTAAAGATTCCATATGATGACAAGAAAAAAAAATATTTATGATGATACAGTCAGAACACTCCCCTTTTCCCACTGACCTTTCCTATACAAAGCAGCACCCGCAGGTTCTATCTTACAGTCTACGCCCTTCTTTCTGGCTGTAGTGTTCAGTAGCATTCTGGGCCGAGGTCCATGCCCACTTGTGCACCCTCACGCCATCTGGTTAAATTTTTAAACGGATTAAGAGCCTTAAAAAAACAAACCGCATCTTTTGCTCGTCATTTCTCGTAAGGTGCGATAGTAATCAACATGAACTGTGGTTATTCTTAGTTTAAAACACGGTTAAGAAGTGCAGTTTGGTAGTTAATTATAACTGAGTTAAGATGTGATTGCGTAAATTGGTGTTGTTTATTATTGATAATTATTATTAGCGGATAAAGTCGATTTTGTATGTTCTGAAATGGTTTGCATTACGTAGTTTTTAAGCTCAGGTGACAGAGGAGATACAGCTGAAAAAGCGGTTCGGGGGCGAACCTGCAGGAAGCGAATGCGCTGGACCTGTCACACAGGAGTCCCAAGCGAAGTTTGGGGCGAAATAGCGGAGCGCATTATATGGGTCACATATATTATATGGGTCACTTATATTATATGGGTCACATATATTATATGGGTCATGTGGCCTGAAATAAATAAATAAATAAAAAAAATTATCTTAAATATACACATATTTCGAATGAACGCTACTCAATAATGTACTCCGTTATAAACTAGAATACCTACACCATTGACCTACTGACTATTGAGTTGTAAACGTCTATTTGGAGTCTATTTAGATTTATTAACTGGTTGTCAATTAAAAAAAGAAATCTTGCTGTTTGTCTTCTCTCACCATAATACTGTAAATGACGGTTCATATAAATGAATCCTACAAAATCCAAAGCCAGTTTTTTAATTTCGTGCCCTCGTCCTTCTGGTTATGAGCCCAGGCATAATAGAGATAAGTTAATAAATGTATTTCCAGTATTGTCTGCATACTTTCAAAGATTTCGTTTGTGATACAAATTAAATCGGCGAATGGACGTTGGATCCCCGCGATAATGTTTTATTTTTTGCGTTTTACAATTTACGTTAATTTTCCTTTGCCTTACAAAATTAAGTAAATTGATTATTAGTTGTGTATTTGATGACACTATGTTAATGTTAGAAATAATCAATGAGTTTCGACCTACTTATATTTAATATTCAAAGCTGACGAGTGGTAAGTTGTGGTGTGGAAATACCAACTGCTCGGCTTTGTTTATCAATAGCTGATTTCGTTTTGCTTCATATCGGGGACCGGCCTAAGCGGGAGAAAGAATCGCGAACTCAACACGCACCGACTGGTAATTTTACAATTCAGAACCAAGTGCTCTAATAATAATTCTATTTAAGTTGCTTGTTAATAATACGAGGGATGTGCGATGTTGAATAACACGTCGATATAGTCCATCACAGTGTTTCTAACAATAACGATCAAACTAGCGATGCACCAGCAATTGATAGATTAAACAAAATGATAAAATGTTACAATTACAACACTACCTACACATAGTTTCTCAAAGCACTCTTGTGATCTACTAATAAATTTGTGCCCACTTTTACTTTAAATTATCTAGAAACCTTCTTCGAGATATCTTGAGGGAATTTAAACTCTTAAAATATTCAATCGAATTAAATTCTATTAGATATCTTATAGTATATATGTATTAAGATATGGTTGTGCTGCTTGGGCTCTTTCGAACAAAAAAAAAGAATCATCAAAATTGGTTCACAAATATCCGAGTTATCGCGTAACATACACACAAAAAAAACATACAGACGAATTGAGAACCTCCTCCTTTTTTGAAGTCGGTTAAAAATGAAGATTATTTTGATTTGTGTCAAGTTCCATATAGTGGCTAACTAGGGGATGAATCCGGGTTCGCGCACTTTCCGGTAACCGATTTCAATAAAAAATTTCAAAAAAAAAAAAAATTAAAAAAATGGGAAATAGATGTAATTCCACGTACTTTTGAGGTCGGAGTACTCTGTACTGAGATTGTAGATTTTGAAATAAGATATTACAAAAAATGCTTGTAGAGGGGGTAGTACTTAGTTCTCTTTTAGCTGATTCCTAGTTTTGATAAAGAAAGCAGCGCTGCTGTACAGAAGTGCGAAATGCCACTCACTGTGGCTAACCAAAAATTGCAATCGCGCGTCTCTTGCGCTACAGTTTATGTCACAGCTACGTCGTGTTTATTTTTATTTTTTGCTTCACACGATGAATAAGAAGGACCCAATATAATTTTATCAATAATGTTAAACACTAGTATTTATGTGGTCTGTGGTTAAACTATAACCTGCAGTATGACAAAGCCGTTTTCCCGGTCGCCACAATTCCAATCGATTACAGAAGAAAAGATTCTCTAAGATGTGGTAAGATTTATGTATAAATTTTATAATTTCTTAGTTATCTTACTATATTCATTGTGACTGATTGATTGATTGATGATTCGTATACGTTTAATATTCTTTTTAATTTTTTTTCCACTGTTTTAACAAAATAAGTAAAAGTGCCCAATGTTATCTATCTATCTATCTACAACTCGAGAAATTTTAGTAGCACTTCAGAAGTGCACACAGAGCACCCCTTTTCCCACGGCGGCGCTATTTTGACGTTTCTTTGATCATCGTACGCGTATTGATTGGGGTAAAACACAGGCATTCCTGCAGAAATATCTTTGGAGCGCAACGCATAATGACGCACTACTTACTCTACATATACGATATTATAATGTACGTTAGAAATAATCTTTCTTCATTTGGTACTGTAAATGTTTCTGGCACCCCACTCCGCCGTACCGGGCGGTCATTTGGGAACAGTCCCCCGACGCATGGCACTTGCAGAGAAAAAGTGTCATCGGACCTACTTACTTTGAGCGTTTACTTGCTACACTCAGGGTCGTATTCTAGAACTCTACTCAATGCTCAAGTCAGGATTTGAGTATGGTTTAAAGCACTCGAAACCATACTCAAGTCCCTGCCATTAGGGTCGTATTCCCAGTACTTGTGTTTTCAGTGCAAGCCTGACTTGAGCATTGAGTAGAGTTCTAGAATACGACCCTCAGATTTGAACCGTCTGACGAAACATTTAGGCGCCGGCAGAAAGACCTTTTATTGAAAAATCCTTTATGCTCTGTAAATGAATTCATTGCCTTAAAATTGTAACGATATAGAGTATTTTCTATTTTATTCTAATTTTTGCCGCATTGACATCCTCTTGTTTAATTGTTATGACGATCTTTGATGGAGAATGATATTTGATATGTAATTTAATGACAACAATATTTTATAATGAATTGTTAATTTTCTAATTATTGTGTATTTTTCTTATAATTTTCATTTTTGTCTGAAGATCTCAATATAATTTCTTATACTTTGACATGTAGTGCAATTTATACTGTTATACTGTAAATATTTTTATATTTGAGAAATTAAAATCTAATTTGAACACGCCCTAATAAAATGAATAAATAGGAAATGAAACTATTTTTCCGGATTTAAATCGCGTATATTTGTAAAATGAATAAACTTCGTTTACATAATTTTATCAGCCGATTGATGTAAAACGAAAAACGTAATGCGATAATGTGTAATTTGATAAAAAATAATCAACTGTCCTCATTGACTTACCAAGGTCAATGACTGTCCTTAAACAATTCATAGATTTAGGCGTTACTTTGCTACCCAGTGTACCCTCGACTGAGCGTCAAACAATCAACAACTCGTGAGTATGCCTCAAAGAGAAGCGACACACGTGTCGGGTACATTTAATGGTGGTGGTCTTTGTGACTGTAGTTGCGCTAATATTATTTTGTTAATTTTATGCTGTGGAAAAATAAACAACAATAACGCAACCATTTTGCACGATTTAACCTTCAGTGTAGTTTACTTCCATTTTTATTTTTTATTATACAAAATTCCACTATCTATTGCACATATCCAATAGATAGTGGAATTTTATTTTGTAAATGATAGTGGAATTCTAAAAAATGTATGTACCTACATGTCATAACATGTTGGTACATTTTTTAAAATCTTTATTTAAGGAAGTTTTCTTTTATTAGAAAATGTCACCCCATATTGATAAACTCCTTAAACATTATCTACCGTCTTCGCTTAATTCCCACATCAACTAATCTATTAACAATTTTGCTTCCTTTGATCTTGGGGAAGATAAGAAAACGTTACATATGCACCCAACTCTGCCAAAATAAGATACTTCCGTCTTTCGGCTCCGTTCCGTACACACGCCATCAAGATATGGTATACATCCTCCACTATGTCACATTCAGTATGTCACAATTACTGGAACGGACCGTCGTCGTGCGCCTGATGGTAAACTTTAAATCGCAAAGATCGGAGGTGCACTGCCTCTGCGCCCATCACCCTGAGACATAAGTTGAAAAGCCCCATGTGCCTTTAATTTCACCACCACCCTTACCCCTGATAATCTCAGTACAGAGTACTAAAAAACCGACCTTAAAAGTACGTGGAATTATACATATAATTACCAAGTTTTATTGAAAGCGGTTACCGGAAAGTGCGTAAACCCGGATTCATCCCCTAGTTCGCCACTATACGGGACTTGACACAGAAGATAATAATAAAAATTGGTTCTCACTACTCAAAGTATATTGAGAGAGAAAAACGTCTTGAATTGGAGAATAGCAAAATCAGCAATTAAAATAATTGCTCCTTATAATAAAATTTAGGCGCTATTTATAAAAATGAATCTTCATGCGTGAACAGCCACCCTTAGAGGTGGATGATTTTCTTCAAAATTAAATGGGACCACTTTCCAACAAAAAGAGAATCATGAAAATCAGTTCACAAATACCGGAGTTATCGCGTAACATATATACAAAAAAAAACATACAGTGGAATTGAACACCTCCTCCTTTTTTTGAAATCGGTTAAAAACCGGAATAGTCATGCTCCCATTACTGCTTGGTGGCAAGACAGTATTGGAAAGCTTATTTGGAAAGGAGTCGACATCACAGACGAAATCGAGTCCCGAGGTAAGTTGGAGAGCAAAGCCAAATTGGCTTCAAAAAAGCTTGGAGTGCTCAATAGAGCGAAGCAGTACTTCTCACCAGGTTCCCGACTTTTGTTATATAAAACACAAGTACGGCCCCATATGGAGTTTTACTCGCATCTCTGGGCAGGAGCTCCAAAATACCAACTTGGCCCACTTCACTCCATCCAACGTATTGTCGATCACAAACTCACAGCCGGTATGGAGCACCTTAGCCTACGGAGAGACGTTGGCTCTCTGTGTGTGTTGTACCGTCTTTATAATGAGGAGTGCTCCGAGGAACTTTTCGAACTGGTGCCACCGTCTCGTTTCTACCATTGCACCTCCCGTCAAAGGAGTAGAGTTCATCCCCACATCTTAGATGCCTGGCATGGTAAGACCACGCGGGCATCTCGTTTGTTCCTTCTTCGAACCTACAAGATGTGGAATGATCTTCCTCCTGAAGTTTTTCCTTTGCGCTATGACATGGTTCTTCAAAAAGCGTGTTTACAGGGCTCTCAAAGGCTGGCAACGCATTGGCAGCTCATCTGATGTTGCAAATGTCCATGGGCGACGATGACCACCTCTCATCAAGTGGCTCGTCTGCTAATTTCCCTCCTTCTTTACATAAAAAAAATTCTGCTATTTATAGGCATGTGTCCGAATCGGACCCGAAATGCTGTGATTAAATTAGCTCTGCGCATATTGGCTCCGTCAAACCATGGAATCCGAAAGAGTCAAGGTTGCAACTTTTGTATCAAATGCTTCTACTACGCGATCGTTCATCAAAATACTGTTTCCAAATGAGGATGTGAACTACACTGTTTTTTACCACTTTTTGAAAGTGGTAAAAAACAGTGTAAAATCACCGCCTCAGTCGAGGCTTCGTTCGCTTGACAGTCCACCTCTTCGTTGTCAGCTATGCCAATATGTGATGGTATCCATTGTGAACTTATATCAAAATTAAGACTACGAAGTTCTAACAGTAGCCGAATTGTTATTCGACTACTAAATGCCACCGGGGCGCCTCTGGCTCCTTGAGTACATTTAATCAATTGTTGGAGAGCACTCTTCGAGTCAGTTCACGTTACTATCTTTTTGTAATCGATCGTTTATAAGAAAATGTTTTCTTTTTCTTCGATCCGATGGGACTTGAACCCATGGTGATCATGGGTTTGACGTACGCGAATGCTTCTACTATAGCAAAAAGTTCAGCTGACATTATTGACAAATTCATATTAAACATTGTTCTTAATTTTGTGTCGGCCTAAATTAAAAATTAAAAATGTTGTGATGTAATCTTAATTTGTGCCACACATAAATTTTTCCAGACCAGCCGATCTGACCGGCTCATCCAGAAATCTTTGGGGAGGCCTATGTTCAGTAGTGGACGTCTTCTAGCTGATATTGATGATGATAAATTTTTACATAGGGATATGCTATAAATATTAAAGGAGTGAACATTATGAACAACAATATACGATACTTATTAATAGGATTTGATAAAATATTAAGTATTATTAAGAAATACTCGTATAACACAAATGCGCTGTTAATTTTACTTTTTTATAAAAAAATATCATACGCTATTATCGGGCCCCAATAATAAGCAACTGAGATATTGTTCCAACACTGTATCCTATTTATGATTTGAAGGCTTGAATTTCTTAGTTGCAGCATGCATCAAGTTACAATTGCAATTTAGGACATTATGTAGTGATAAATTTAAATTTTTATAGCACAAAACTTTGATATAAAATAAAAAAGAAAACAAGAATTGCATTGATCTAATTTTCTATTTTTTCTCACAACTCATTTACTTAGACACAATAACAGTTTTTAAACCATGAACAATAACTTAACATTAATTTAATACTTCAACATTCTTTAGCATAGAACAGATGACAATTGTGCACAACATTGGTCTCCAATGGTACAAATCAGGAATGAAGACCCTGCCACTACAAAACAAACTAGTTTTATCCCTCCATTTTGCAACCCGCCAAAATTTTAACAACTACGAAAAAATGTTGTTACCGGTAGTGGCATCTAGCAGCGCGATGGGTAACCACAAAATTAAAATGTGCTTAGACTACTTTCATTACAATTTAATATCTGTACCTATTTATATCGTCACTGGAATGGCTAAATGACTAAGGCCTAGTTCTCACTATCACCGGACTGGCGAATTAGCCAGTTTCGGTAAAACTGCCGGAAAGGCTAGTGGTTGTATAATTTACCTATATGAAGCTATTCACATCACGCCGGACTCGGCAAGAATGCCGCGCTCGGCATTGTTGCCGGTGGCGTTTGTCACTGCGGACCGCCGGCAGAACGCCCGGACCAGAGTAATGTGTACGACGACGAAAGTCGTCCCAATAAATTATCAAAAGATGCTGTCATCCGAAAATAATTAAATAACTTTGACTCGTCATTTCTCAGTTTGACCCATTAAAAATCTTACCCGCAAAATAGGATGTACCCACTGTTTTCTTTTTACTCTAAAATACCACCAAAACACCACCATTTCGTCGTCTATCTTGCGCAGTGGTCTGAATTCGACTGAGGTGAGGACTTTAGTCGTCGATTTTCTTGAGAAATCCGGCTTAATGTGAACCTAGTCCGAGTGCCGGATTCCCGGAAAATTCGCCAGTCTATAATGGGAACTAGACCTAACCTTCAAGAACCAAAATGGCGCTTTAATACTTTTGCCTTTCCAGGGACGATATTATACTATCACATGTTTTCAGTGTTGAATAATTGACTAATTGAATAATTATAATTGAGTTATGGCTATTTATTAGTAGAATGAGATGAAGGAACAACTCGCGACCTCCAGCGGTTCACGTCATTACATATATAGGCAGTTTGATTATTATACAAATTGACAGTTACATACATAATATCGTCGGCAAAATTCATAAACCTCATACCTGCGTTCATTAATGTGTACTTTTTAGTAAGCACAATAAAAAAGATTCCAGGAATTATATTTCTAGCCTTAATTACCCGATATTTATCTTGAAGAGTAAAAAAAGGTATTCCAAAAACGGAGTTACGAGGTTTTCAAATTTAGCCGACGATATCATCACGCCTGTCGGGCGTAGTCAGAGCCTGCGACGATGCTGACCTGCTTCATCGTCATCCCACCTTTTTATTACACTATTCTACTAATTCCTACACTAATAAGCCGTTATTTCATAATCTCTTCGCTATCAACTATCAAAGTTGAATCCATTCAAAGAATATTGTAAAGACCGAAACAAATGAAATGGATGAGTGTTCACATTCCAATCTAACTGCAGTAGTTTTTGACAGCTTGATAAATATGTGTGATATTATAATGCTGAAATACGACACCTGTACAACTACGAGTACAATTATACCTATAATTACAAAGCAAAGTTTTCCCGCATGTTCCTAACATGCGCGCTAAAATATTATTTTTAAAATGACCATAGACACATTGCAAAAGAATTATTTTTTATTTACAGTTGGCTAATGGCAAAAACCACTCGGATTTTTTGGCCACAAATGCATTTAAATTAATTACCTATTAACTTTTAGGTTTACCCCATATATAATCAATTACATGCCACTGTAAAATAAAATAGAATGACATTTCCAAATAAGACATTACTATTAATAATACAATCTGAAATCCGGTAAATGTTCCCAACAACGAGTACACCATGATTCCGTTAATGTAGCTCTGCCAGACTCTGGAAACAATAAAAAATACTTATTACAGTGTCCGTGCAGTCTTAATTTTATGACATCCTAATGATGTACACTTGAGTTATGTAGTGCACTACACTGTAAGAAAGACTTTACAGTTGAATGATTACGTGTAAAGACGCGTTGTAGTAAATTTTATTTTTCTTTATTAGTCTTTATTTTTTATTCATTTCGGTACATCATATAGTCTTTTCCTCAAGTTTTGAAGACTATTGCAGCAAGATGGCGATCTTTGGGTCTTTGAGAAGTGACGCGCGCCTATGCGCTAGCCGGATTTAAGCCCTTGCTATATTGGATTACTTGAATAAAGCTTTTAAACATCCCCGCCATAGAAGACTTCAAAACCCGAATTTCCGAGGAAGTGAACGCTATACCTTAAGAATTGTAGAAAATTGGCCGCCATCTTGCTGAGATCGTATTCGAAACTCGAAGAAACGCTATATGGCGCAAATTTAATGAAAAAAAAATCTGTAGTTTTTTAATTACTTCTTGAAACTCTGGGATAGCTTTTGTCCTACTTTGTATATGTACGAAAAAACCTCTCTCTGCGATAATCGACTTTCAAGGATAGTTTCAATCTTGTTTACAAATTTCAACCTAATACTTTAATGAAATTAAGTGGATACTTACACGAGCGTATACGTAAGGAAAAAGCACGACATGAGCATAAACCTAGGCTTTAAGCTCTTAGGTCGTTGTCTGAACACCACACATAGGTCTACGAGGGCTGATACTAAAGTGAAAGTGTGAAGTGAGTGTTGACTCCAGTCTGGCACGTATGCGAACAAAGCTACTGGTGCTATTAGGCTCATGTCCTTGTAGTACAATCGCCAAAACAGTATATCTGCGAACTGGAAATCAAAATTACAAATATTAACACGTTCACAGTCCATGACTTCACTTGGAGTCGCAAATAGGCTTCAGCCATAAGTCCACGCCATCGAGTATATAACCAGAAATAGAGACGAGGGCCATATATTCCTGGTAACACATTAGCGATACAGCTCTTATAAATATCAACTCTCGTTTGCACTGACATATAGACAGGCCAACTATTGACCTGTGTGTACGTCTCCGTACATTCCAAAAAATATTCTGTATTTATTGTAATAAAGATAATAATCTCTAACAATGCCGTGCTGTTCTATTTGGTGGTGTGGGAAAAACAGCAAAACATCTAATTACAAAACAAACGGAATCACATTTCATCGGTAATTAAATATTAAACATGTAATTTTGCAATTTTCGTCCAATAGAGCAAAGCTCAAATCAACTGGTCGATTTGAAGTGAAACAGTTGACGACACCCGTCAATTGTTTCGAACTCGGGCTAGCCAATCGGAGCGCAGTTGTCACAGTATATATGAATATAGCAGAATAGTTTTCAAACAAATTAAATGACATTTCGTCTCTATTTCTGGTTATATACTCGATGTTCCACGGATATCTATGGAGTCGCAACTACATACTACTTCAATGTTAAATATTTTGGCTGGACTTGTAGATCAAATCCCTGATTTTTTTTAAATTTGTGAATGGTATCTAGTCTTTTATAGGATGTGTAATTTTTCAAAAATAACAAAATCATTTGGATATAATTTATATCGCAGTAGAGTTCCTTGTGAAAGAGTTCGTCCAGGGAAGCACTGCCACCTTGCCTATTTCCGCCGCCAAGCAGTAATGTTAGCATTACTTCGTTCCGGTTTAGAAGGGTAGGGGTGCTGGTGAAATTACAGGCACATGAGGCTTGTCAACTTGTGTTTCAGGGTGACAAGCGCAGCGGCAATGTCCCTCAGATCCTCGCGATTTAAAGCTCACTGCAACTGCTATGGACAGGTGTGTCGCTTAACACCAGACGCACATAGCTCATCCTGTCACTTGGTATCATAAAAAAATATGTATAATGTGAAAGTAAAAGACACAACCAACTATTTTATACAAATTCCGGTGGACTTACGGAGTTCATTTCATCGTTTACGCGCGACAGAATGTTATGAACGTGTTATACAACGAATCGCCATCGTCTGGAAGCCACGCCATACATACATATAAATCTTCAAACGCTATCAACTAAACTAAATCTAAAATTCTCACCAACTGTCTTAAACGGGATAAATTCGACATAATTACCATTATAGTTGGAAACATTATGGACGTGAACAGAACATCCCGAACTTTTCTCCACACAACTACATGTGGTAAATTCTCCTGATTGCACTTCTCTTTCCAATCGCAGTACAGACACAGTGGTAAATATAGTCCTAACATTAACTGAAACAAAAATATATTTATAGTACCATTTCAGTCTTCACAAGCCTCGTTGTTATAGCTACTTTACATAATAATCATGGCGCTACGCAACAAAGCCTTGACGGCGACGAAACCAAAAACAAAGATCTCCAATAAGTACATAGAAAAATTAATAAGGTCAGCCGGTTCGTTCCGTAATAGCTGAGTTGGGAGAGCGTCAGGCGGGCACTGGTTCGAATACAGACATCTGTCTCCTTCGAGAACGAAGGAGTTTTTCTTAGTATTCGATCATTGTTTTAATAATTATAAGAAACTAAGCTGCGGAGTAATTTCACAAAAAATAATTTAATTCCATGATAGTAAAACATCGTGATATTCAACAAACTTAATGACAATAATAATCTCTTAAGTGTTTGTTAAACATCTTTTGTATTGAGTTTTTTCGGCTTTTGCCGCAAAAGTGACACCTGTGATAGATCTATGAAGCTTCTCACTCACTTACGGCTTTCGGCGATAAAAGAAAAAAACAGTACAAGAGATATATAGATATGCGGTATGAAAATTAATTTAATGGTGATGCGCCACTACAGCGCTTCTGTACTCTGTTTCAGTCCATTTTAAACAAAAAATAAACAAAAGTCACTGACCTGACCATAGACGGTTTAGTGATGACTAATTTTACTGCCAACTACAACTCAATTAATTATTGAATTAATTGATTTGTTTAATTGAGTCATCTAGCTATTTTCATTAGGTATGTAACACATAAAAGCATATTTAAAATTTCCGAAATCTTAATTTTAAATCCTTACACTTAGGTACTCGTTCGATTGTGATTGAAATTTTCGATTTACTAATCTATTACAAAAACTTTAATTGAATGAACTGAATGTACTTATTTTCATCTTTAATTAAAAAACAACCTCACTTTTTACTACGATTTTGTCAAATCCGATTTTACGATGTTATCCAAATGAATATTGTTGGAAAGAGTGATGAGATGTCAAGTCAAAATCCACGAAATATACGTGAAAGTGCTAGTTATTCAATTTATTTAGTGATTACTTTACAAATTCAACCAAACCGTTTTGTTTACATTTCGATTAAAATGAATTGGAATAGGCTATAGAACCGTCTAATTTGAAGGAGCCGCGAAGAAAGTTTAGTTTAAGGTCTTTCTTGAACTTAAGTAAAGTTTGTTTTATAAATCTGCTGCCAGCGTGTTACTACTTTAAAGTTACTGATAATGGTATATCGTCCGTGTTTTGTAGAAAGGGCGAAAAGGCCATTTAGAAAATTTTTTCAGGGGAGCATGTTGTATGTTTTAACGATTGTTTTAAAATATTTAAATCCTGTTTTAAAATTCAATTTTGGTTTAAATTAACTTTAAATTTTAAAATTGAAACGGTATCCATTATAATTTTCGACCCAGGTCGGAAACGTAATCAGAATCGGCTCTGGCAGTTTTTTCATATACTATAAATGTGTATAATAGCTAAAAAATATTACCTCCAAATATCTATTTGCCAAGTTTTATTGAAATCGATTAACAGAAACTGGGTGAAATTCAGTGAGCCGGATTCATCCCCTAAATTAACATATTATGAGGTGGTGGTGAGGAGGTGGAATATTTTGTTCAATTTCAATGAGATTATTACTGAGGTACGGAGGTTTGTTGGCATTGGGGATGCCAACAAAAAAGAATCATCGAAATCGGCTCACAAATGACGTAGTAATCGCATAACATACACAAAAAAAACTGTCATTGAGAACTTCCTCCTTTTTTGAAGTCGATTAAAAAGGGTTCGCGTAGTGGCAACGTCATTACTTCAATTTATACATACATATACGTACATATACTTCACGCCTTTTTCCCATCGGGGTAGGCAGAGACAACAGCCTTCCATTTGCTACGGTCCTGACACACATCTTTCGCCTCATCAACACGCATCAATGCTTTCATACACGCCACTCTTCTTTCATTCATTCTCTCTACATGTCCGAACCATCTAAGCATCCCTTTCTCTATCTTTGTCACTATATCTTCTTCCACGACGCAACGCTCTCTTATCACACTGTTCCGTAATTTATCCATCCGAGTCACTCCAGCCATACTCCTCAAAGCTCTCATTTCTACTGCATTAATTCTACTTTCATGCTTCCTCTGCCAAACCCAACATTCACTACCATACATAAGAGTTCAATTTATATTAATAATAAATTCATTTTCACATTGTTATTCATAACCACTCATAACAAAAATCACATCAAATAAGTTAACCAACCCTCCATAAATAGTCACATATACGATGTCCAATCGTTTTGTATATTCACAGAAAACTATAAGTATCAATAGTTATACTTGTATAATAATTAGTTCAATGTAATAATTGCAAGCACGCTGATTCACCAAAGAACAACAAACGTTATTGTATTTACACGTCGATTAAAATGGTTTAGTGAGAAGAAAACAGATGTTACCATGGGTGAGATTATACAGGGTGTAATAGAAAGGTGTTGTTGTATCAAAGGTTGTGTAGCGCAAAACCGGTGTAGGTTTTTCGGTATTGATTGCGTTCTTGCATTTTTGCAAGACTAGTTTTCAGATAGTTTAATAGCAGTAGAGCTCCTTGTGACAGAGTTCCTCCAGGGAAATATTGCCACTTTACCTATTTCTGCCTTCAAACAATAATATCAGCATTCGGTTTTGAAAGGTGAGCGTGCTGGTGAAATTACAGGCACATGGGACTTGTCAACTTATGTCTCAGGGTGACGGGCGTAATGGCCATGCCCCTCAGATCTTTATGATTTAAAGCACTGAGTAGCACTGCAATTGTTATGGACAGGCGTGTCGCTTAACACCAGGCGCAAGACTTGTTCGGCCCGTCAGTTGGTATTATACAAAAAATATTGTTTAACGCATTAAGCAAAACAGTTCTATTAAGTGATTATCTGATATCTCACAGTAAATCCAAATAACTCTTTAACTTACCATTATAATTTAATTTTTATTTAACTCAACTTTATTGGAACCAAGGACCCATTAAACTTTTCGAAACATTAGTTTTTCTTTGTTGTATTGAATATTTAGCTTTTGCTCAAAAAACGATATCCATAATTGACCCAGCTCGGAAACGCAAACAAATTCGGTTCTGGCAGTTTTTTCACACACTAACTTAAACCTACAGGAGGGGGTTGAATATGACCGAAAAAACGAAAAATAAGAACGTATGGAAAGAGAGACATAAAACATGTAAAATAAAGAGAGAACAATCGAAGGCACAAGCTGAAATCGAAAACATAAACAGTAGAATAAGATTATTAAATCATGATCTCATTAAACTAAAAGCTGAAAACGAACAATTTCAAAACTGACCTACAAAACTCTACGTACACAACAAGTGATTTAAAATGAAAATATGATCCTAAATAATTATCACACAAATCCTGAAACTGTAGCCAATTCATCAAAATCTCACCTGAGTCCAACCGAAATCGCCAATTCACTAAAAAAGTTATGAATCCAATCGCAAATTCCCTGTATTTGCCACCGGTAGAGAAACGAGAAGTTTATTCTATCATCAAAAATTTTAAAAACAAATATAGTTACGGCATTGACGAAATCCCACCCATTTTAGTTAAAAAGTGCATTGACAGTCTAACTAGAACCCTTTAGGGAACTTATAAATCAGCGCCTTAATGATAGAAAGGATTTTTCCCGACTCCGTAAAAATATACCTCATTAAACCCGTTCATTAATCGGACCAATTACCAGATACAAATAATTACAACCCATTGCACTACTTCCAACGCCATCAAAAATTTTTGAATCAGTAATTGTAAAAGAATGTATTCTTTTTACGAAAAATATAATGTTTTTGACAGCAATCACTAACCACTTGGTTTTCGAAAAAAGCTCTTTACGGCTATAAATATGTTCGTAATATACTACTCATAGATACACTCAACGCCAGGAAATATACGATAGGATTACTACTAGATATGAGTAAGGCTTATGATAAAGTTGATTATGGAATTCTTTTGGACAAACTCTACAATACCGGGACTAAAGGCATGGTATATAAATGATTAAAATCTTATCTCACAAACCGTGAACAATACGTGGAGGTTCAAAACACTAATTTTGAAACCGGGTTGATACGAAATGTGCGCTCGGAGGGAATAAATACGTATGACAAACTCTATTCTACAAGGTAGCGTCTTGGGGCGTATCCTCTTCCTAGTGTACATTAACGATCTCCCCAAGATAGTTGACGATCATTGCACTTTATTTGGTGACGATAAATCCATTTTATTCAACTTGTGAAACAACAAACGTATTAAATAATAGACTTGACTTGGTATTACTCCTACGTTGAGTCTAGACTCGCGTACGGCATCGTACTTTGGGGAAACTGTGCAAATATAGATGAATTACAAATACTTCCAAAGAAGTTCATTACAATACTAGTTAATATCGACCAAACAGAATCATGTAAACCGTACTTCACAAAACATCAAATTCTAAAGTTAACTTCAATTTATTTTGGAATTTTGCAAATTCGTATGCAACTCTAAGGGCTCATTCAGAGTGCAGGCGCGGACGCGGCGGCCGGTGCGGTGGCGCGGGTCTTGCGTCTTCCCTTTCAGCGCCGAAGTGGCTACGAGCGGGTAGATCCATACGTGGAAATTGTAATTAGACGCTAAACGCTAGACCAAGCACTGTGAAAGATACGGGCGGACCGAGCCAATAGATTTTCCCGCGACCGCCTCGACACAGGGCCGGCGCGCGCGGCCGCTGTAAACGCTACGAGTGTCTACGTACAGTCAAGAGCACGTCAAGCTTGACACTTAAGACTTAAATCCAACAAAAATAAGAACGGTCCAAAGTACAAAGTGTCAAGCTTGACGTGCTCTTGACTGTACATTTGATTTACACGCGCCCGCACCCGCGCCCGCCGCCACGCTCAATAAGGCCTAAGCTTGTACCGATCAGCGCTCCACTTCATTCAAATACGTAA